AGCCTGAGGCGAACCACCGTCCTTTACTAAAATGAAAATAAATTTAATGGACCAACTAAAAATATATTATACAAAAAATTACCCGGGCATGGTGGTGCATGTCTTGTAGTTCCCAGCTACTCGGGAGGCTGAGCAGTAGGAATCGCTGAAGCCCCGGAGATTGAGGTTGCTGTGACCAGGTTGACGCCACGGCACTCACTCTAGCACGGGCAACAAAGCGAGACTCTGTCTCAAAAAAAAAAAAAAAAAGTGTTGGTAAGAACACAGTTGAATTAGAACCCTCCACTGCTGACAGGAATGTAAAGTGGTGCAGCCACTTCAGCTATTCCTTAAAAAGTTAAACACAGTTACCATATGAGCCAGCAATGCCATTCCCAGTAAGTACACACTCACAAGGAAATGAAAACAATATGTCTACAAAAATTGCACGTAAATTTCACTGCCTATTTACAACAACCAAAAGTAGAAACAACCCAAGCAGCCATCAATTGATCAATAGACAAAATGTGCTATATCCATACAATGGAATATCATGCAGGCATAAAGAAATAAGGTAGCAGGGCCAGGCGCGGTGGCTCACGCCTGTAATCCTAGCTCTCTGGGAGGCCGAGGCGGGAGATTGCTCGAGGACAGGAGTTCGAAACCAGCCTGAGCAAGAGCGAGAACTCCATTCTCTACATAAATAGAAGAAATTAATTGGCCAACTATATATATATACAAAATTAGCCGGCATAGTGGCAAATGGCCTGGAGTCCAGCTACTTGGAGGCTGAGGCAGGAGGATTGCTTGAGCCAGAGGAGTTTGGAGGTGCTGTGAGCTAGGCTGACGCCATGGCACTCACTCTAGCCTGGGCAACAAAGCGAGACCTGTCTCAAAAAAAAAAAAAAAGGATGATCCTTACATATGTGAATTATATCTAAATTGAAAATTGGAAAAAATAATACAAGGAAATTTTCCAGATCTGAAGGATCAATATTTTCTTGTATTACAGGAGTTCAGCAGAAATAAATGAGAGAAAACCATACAAAGCACCATCATCATGACAATTTTTTTTTTGAGGAACAGAGTCTCGCTTTTGTTGCCCAGGCTAGAGTGAATGCTGTGGCTCCAGCCTAGCTCACAGCAACCTCCAACTCCTGGGCTCAAGCAATCCTCCTTGCCTCAGCCTCCGAGTAGCTGGGACTACAGGCATGCGCCACATGCCCGGCTAATTTTTCTTCTTATATGTTAGTTGGCCATATTTTAATTCTTTCTATTTATAGTAGCACGGGGTCTCGCTCTCAGACTGGTTTCGAACACCTGACCTCGAGCAATCTGCCCGCCTCGACTTCCCAGAGTGCTAGGATGACAATTTTTTTTTTTTTTTGAGACAGAGTCTCACTTTGTTGCCTAGGCGCTAGAGGGAGTGCCATGGCGTCAGCCTAGCTCACAGCAACCTCAAACTCCTGGCTCAAGCAATCTTTCTGCCTCAGCCTCCCGAGTAGCTGGGACTACAGGCATGCGCCACCATGCCCGGCTAATTTTTTTCCATATATATTAGTTGGCCAATTAATTTCTTTCTATTTATAGTGTAAGAGATGGGGTTTTCTCGCTTCCTTGCTCGGCTTGGGTTCAAACTCCCTGACCTGAAAGCAAATCCTTGCCCACCTCGGCCTCCCAGAGAGCTAGGATTACAGGCGTGAGCCACTGCGCCCAGCCGTAGGATGACAATTTCTTTTAGATAGAGTCTTACTCTGTCACCCTGGGTAAACTGCAGTGATGTCATTATAGCACACCCCAGTCTCCCAATTCCTGGGCTTAAGTGATCCTCCTGCCTCAGCTTCATGAGTAGCTGGGACTATAGGCATGTGCCACCATACCTGGCTAATTTTTCTGTTTTTAACAGAGACAAGTTCTCACTCTTGCTCAGGCTGGTCTTGAACTCCTGAGCTCAAGCAATCCTCCTGTCTCGGCCTTTAGAGTGTTAGGATTACAGGCGTGAGGCACCGCACCCAGCCATCATGACATTTTAGAATAAAAGGGATAAAGATAAGACCCTTGAATTCTTCCAAAGAGAAAAAATATATAGAAAGAAAAATGAAAATAACATAATAATTTTCAACAGAGGCCAGATGACAATAGGAAAAATGACCTCAAAATTCTGAATGAGTTATTTTTGACTTAGAATTCTAAACCCACTTTAACTGACAATCACAGGTGAGAGTGGAATAAAGATATTTTCAGACATGCTAGATGTGCAGAAGAGAGTTACCATAGCAGGTCTGAGTCTGCAATCCTTAGAAAAGCCTGCTCACAAGGTTGCCCTTAGCTGGTGTCTGGGAACTTAGATTTCAGGAGGGTTCCCACCATTTCTAAAACTGATAAGAATGGCTCACTCTACCTAAACTGTGTAAATAGTTTGCTAAACAACCCACATTCCTTATGGAAGTCTGGAATTTTGGTATATGCCAAGGAAAGGGTGCCTATTTGACCAACCCTGATAAAAACCCTGAGTCTCTGAGGAAGTTCCCTGGTAAACAACATTTCACATATGTTGTCATAACTTGTGGGAGGAATTGAGTACATCCTTTGTGACTCCACTGGGAGAGGACCCTGGGATGCTTATGCCTGGTTTCCTCCAGACTTCACCCATGTGCCTCTTCCCTTTGTTGATTTTACTTTGCATTCTTTCTCTGTAATAAATCTTAACTGTGAATACAACCATATGCCGAGTCCTGTGAGTCCTCCTAGAAAAGCATCAGACCTCGGTGTGGTCTTGGGGATTCCCAACATATTCAGTAAAAAAATTAACATTCTATGTATCTTTTTGAGGATGCTTCTGGATAACATGCCACACAAAAATGGGGAATAAACCCAAAAAGAATACATGAGATCAAAGAAGTCACCAATGTAGACGAGAGAGAGGGGAAAGGAAGTCTTAGGATATCAACTATGCAGCAGCCCTACTGAGCAACCATTCCAGACTGGAATGGAGCAGGATGATAGCAAAAGGGGCACCAGGTAGGGGGAAAAGTAACTAAACATTATTTAAAGGGTTTGAAAGCATGGAGAATTACAGTGAGAAGAAAATAGGTAGAGGGTATAGGATGAAATAGTGATTGATAGATAGAAGAGAATTTAGCAATGGCTAAAACAAAGCTGATTACCAGCTCCAGGGAAGAAAGCTATTTAAGAAATAATCATAGAAAACCAGGGTGGTGGCTCACGTCTGTAATTCTAGTACTCTGGGAGGCCAAGGAGGATGATTGCTTCAACTCAGGAGTTCGAGACTAGCCTCAGGAAGCTTGAGACCCCGTCTCTACTGAAAAGATGTTAAAAACAAAACAAAACAAAAACAGCTGGGCATTGCAGCAAGCGCCTATAGTCCCAATTACCCAGAGGCTAAGGCAGAAGGATCACTTGAGCTCAGGAGTTGGAGGTTGCAGTGAGCTGTGATGATACATTGTACTCTACCCAGGGCAACAGAGTGAGATTCAGTCTCAACAGAAACAAAAAAGGCAACTAAGCCACCCTCCTCACAACCCATCCCTAAAAAAAGAAAAAATGGTCATAGTATATCATCTAGCTCAGCAGTAAAACAATTTACACAGTCATAGTATTTTAAACAATGAATACTGATTTAAATCAAAACTTTAACACACCTATTTAGGAGGTTGTGGGAGGGGAAGGAAGATTAAAACAAGCAAATCTTCATCTACCCTGATAAGAAGTTAAACCTGGCTGCGTACGGTGGCTATCCTAGCACTCCTGGGAGGCAAGCGGGCGGATTGCTCGAGGTCAGGAGTTCGAAACCAGCCTGAGCAAGAGCGAGACCCCCGTCTCTACTAAAAATAGAAAGAAATTAATTGGCCAACTAATATATATAGAAAACATTAGCCGGGCATGGTGGCACATGCCTGTAGTCCCAGCTACTTGGGAGGCTGAGGCAGGAGGATTGCTTGAGCCCATGAGTTTGAGGTTTCTGTGAGCTAGGCTGACACCATGGCACTCACTCTAGCCTGGGCGACAAAGCGAGACTCTGTCTCAAAGAAAAAAAAAAGAGATCCAACTATCTTTCACCCCTCAGAAGGTCACCTCCTTGAGGACAGAGAAACTCCTCCCTTTTTAACCCTTGACCCCATTACTAAAAAATATTGCACCAACAGGCGACTGATACCTTTGCTGAGTCAATAATGATGGAATGAAATGAATATAAGCAAACCTAACATATTGAGTGCCTATACATACCAGGCCCTATGCCGAGCACTCTGTGCGTATGATCACGTTTAATCTTCACAACCCTATGAAGCTTCTCTTGCGATTCAAGCCTTTGTTATATACCACCCACAATCTGGCAGCTTTATCTGGGCTATTTCTGTGCCTATAACACACTCCATGCTCCTTCCCAACCTTCCAAATTTTACCCATATCCCTTCTAGCTCAAGTCCCACCCCAGCCAGAAAGCTAGACAACATTCTTGTTACACAGAGCTGAATGTGAAAACTGGTTCTACTTGTTATTAGCTGTGTGACTTTAGGCAAGATACTTCACTTTCCTAAGCTTTAATTTCCCCACTTGCAAAATGAAGATAATAGTACTTAATTTATAGGGTTGTTTTAAGGATTACATGAAATAATACACATCATGTGCCTAGCATAACAACTAGCACAGAATATGCGTCAGTTACATGGCAGTTGCCATTGATCATGTCAACAGCTCAAGCCTGCCCTGGTCTCCCCTTTCTGAGATGTGTCCATAACATATAGCCTACACTAAACCATGTGGCAAAAGGTCACACATTGGCTTTTTCTCACTTCATGTATAGATATTTTCACTCCCAATTACATCACACACTCTCAAGCACAGGGACTTACTTTCTTCTTCCCGATGCCAGGCACAGCACTGCACACACTGCAGACGTTATGTGCTCACTTTGTGGAAGAAGGCAGAAACTTCAGCTGAGAACTGCTCTCTTCCTACCCAGTCAAAACCCCAGCAGAGACCTGCAGCAGGAGACTTACCCGGCACTTGACCTCGTCCCCAGCGTGGTACTTCTTTTCTGGATTCTTAATCAGGATGTCAGCCAGGTGCATGGCAGGTACCAGGCCCCTTATATGCTGGCCCACCTTCAACAGCATCCCATATGGCTTTATAGTTAGTACTGTGCCCTAGAGCCCAAAGAAAAGACACCGTGATGCCTCAAGAAAGGTGTTCCCCCATCTCTTATAGCAAATCATGGCACTATTCTCTTTTGAAGCACACCTTCCTGAGCTAACTATGCCCGTTGTTCCAGATTTCACGTGAGTAAAGCACACATCCCACAGTGATCCTGATTTAGCCAATGTTATTTACAGGATCCTTCACATCTTTTTGTGGGAGCATATATTTTCTGTGTGCCTCACAAGTACATTCCCTAAAAGATGGGACTATGTCTCCTCCTCAGGTATAAATTCTACATATAAAGAGAGCATCTTGATTAGAGCCACAAGGTTAGAAAGGAGAGAAAACTGAACTGGCTTGTCACTAATATCCTAGGAAGCACAATTATCAGAGTACTAATTTTTTATCTGGTCTAATAAGCAATACCAAATCCCAAACCCCAGGATTTATGATCTATTGCTTCTGTGTAGTCGGGTGGTGCCAGTAAGACCTTACCTTGAAATTAATTACAAGTTACCCAAGGGAAGAGAGAAAAATCCCAGTTAACGGTCAGAGGCAAGGAACATAACTTCCAATGTGTTAACATAAGGACTAATGAACTGACAGAAAGCTATGAACCAAAGAAGGCCTGACAGTGGGGGAAGTATCTAATTGGGGAGAGGATCTATTTTGGGGGAGTATCTATCTTGAGGTCTTACCTTTACCACTGCCCCAGGTTTGATGTCATGATAGCTAAGGTACTGAGCTTCAATAATAGACCTAGGACAAAAGGAAAATAAATAAACTAGGGCAGAGGTTGCCTAAACTTCAGGCCTTCCACAATCATGCTGGTGAGAAAGGAAAGCCTCACCAACCACAGCCAGGAGAAACCGAATACGCATACACGCAGGTGCACATCTCTACGCCCCCACGTGTTAATGACACACTTACGTCCGCAGAGAGAGTAAGGCCAGTTCATCCATTTGGCTGTAGTCAATAATTCTACACTTATGAGTGTTCCCTGGCTTGAAGCTCTCAGGTTTGAAGGTGTTCTTAGAATCAGAGAGATGGCTGAGCTGCAAAATACCAAGTAATTTAGAATAAGCCATAGGCAAGAGGGCTAGGCCAATCAGATATAAAACACACCAAGATGACTCAATACATTTATCATCTACCATAAAAACAATACTTTGCCTGGTAAAATAATTCTACTCACTAAGAAAACTGCTTTTTACCATTATAGAATCTCAATAGGTCACAGGTCAGTAAACTACAGCCCAGTGCCAATTTTTGTCAGCAAAAGTCTTATTGGAACACAGTCATCCCATTCACTTATATACTGTCCACAACTGCTTTCATACTGTAACAACATAGTTGAGTAATTAGGACACAGACTATATGGACAATACTCCTAAAATATTTATGATCCAACCCTTTAAGAAAAACTTTGTTGATCCCTGGTCTTGATCCTAACTCCTTCTTATACTTAACCATTGACCAAGTATCAAATACGGCAAGTTGGTTCTAAGGCATTCTAATGTAACAAATAGAAAGCCTGGTGCAGTGGCTCACACCTATAATCCTAGCACTTTCAGAGGCTGAGCAGGGAGGATTGCTTGAAGCCAGGAAGGAATTCAAAACCAGTCTGAGCAAGAGGAAGACCCCATTTCTATAAAAAACAAAAAAATTAGCTGGGCATGGTAGCATATACCTGTAGTCCCAACTATTCGGGAGGCTGAGGCAAAAGGATTGTTTGAGCCTGGGAGTTTTAGGCTGCAGTGAGCTTTGATGGTGCCATTGTACTCTAGCCTGGGCAACAGAGCAAGGCCCTGTCTTAATAAAAAAAAAAAAAATAGACATTGTTCTAATCACTATGAACAGTCCGTCACAATTGGGGATATCCAAAATAAATCAATGTCAAGTGATAAAGGAAGCAGAAAGGACCCCTGTGTCTCAAAACTCCTTCCAGTGATAAGATCCCTGACCAAACAAAGAAGCCACCTTACCCGTGCATAGGCCAGAATCCCATCCTTCAGTCTGAAAATGGCCCCAGCCTTGTTGAAAAAGCCCTGGACAGGAACGTCATCTAGCACAGCTCCAAGGTGCTGGCAAGACAGCCGGGTAAGTGGGCGCCCAGGTTGTAGGAAGATAGGGCGCAAGCTCAGGCGCACAACTCTGGTCCGAGGATGGACACAGAGGATGCAGGCCCTGACCTAGACAGAAAGAAGGGCAGATTGAGCAGGAGGCACATAGTACACACCCTGGAGAAGCCTTTCTGCAGTTCAAGCCTCTCCATGTGCTAATCAGGTAAATACTAAAATCTTTAGCATGTAAGAACTAAAATTGGCTTATACAAGCAAGCAGCATGTGGAAAAGTCAAACAAAATGTTTGTAATCCCAACACTTTGGAAGACCGAGACGCAAAGACTGTTTGAGGCCAGGGGTTTAAGACCAGCCTGCGCAATACAACGAGACCCTGTCTTTACAAAAAATAAAAAATTAGTTGGGAATGGTGGCATGTGCCCGTACTGCCAGCTACTTGGGAGGCTATGGCAAGAGGATCACTTGAGCACAGGAGTTCAAGGCTGCAGTGAGCTATGATTGGGCCTCTGTACTCCAGCATGGGTGACAGAGCAAGACTGTTTCTTAAAAAAAAAAAAAAAATCAGATAGTGGGATTGTCTTCCCAAATATCCACGTTCATTGTAGAAAATGTGAATACTTAAAAAAGATTAGGGGGGGAAATGGGCATTTATTGAAACCTTAAAATCTGTACCCCCACAATATGCCGGAAAAAAAAAAAAAAAAAAGAATAAAGTCCAGGCACAGTGGATTTCAGTATGTAAGTATGTAAATTTTTTTTTACATAAAGAGTAGAAAGATCACCCAGAGTTTATCACTATTAACATGTAGCTGCATAATCTTTCAGTATTTCACAACCATGTGTACTCTTTTTTTTTTTTTTCAAAATTGGATCTGCACTAGTCATGGAAATTTTCAAATCACCTTTTTCTATTTAAACATATTTTATTCTCCTATGTTAAATATTCTTCTGAGACACTTCATATTATAAAAGTAAAAGATTTACTGCCCCAAGAACCCCCAAACTATATGGAAGACTATGAATTAAAAATTAAAAGCTGGCCCGGTGCGGTGGCTCACACCTGTGATCCTAGCACTTTGGGAGGCCGAGGTGGGAGGATCATTTGAGCTCAGGAGTTTGAGACCAGCTTGAGCAAGAGCGAGACACTGTCTCTACTATAAATAGAAAGAAATGAGTCAGATAACTAAAAATATATAGAAAAAATTAGCCAGGCATGGTGGCCTGTAGTCCCAGCTACTCGGGAGGCTGAGGCAGAAGGATTGCTTGAGCCCAGGAGTTTGAGGTTGCTGTGAGCTAGGCTGATACCAAGGCACTCTAGTGCAGGCAACAGAGTGAGACTCTGTCTCAAAAAAAAAAAAAAAACTAAAAGTTGCTTCTTCTTCACCTGGTCATTCCGTAATCTCAGTCCAATCACTGGGAGTTTCTAGTATTCCTTCCAAAACACTATTATTCCCCTCATCTTCTCTCTGCACAGCAGTACACATGTACTCCTGGGACCTGTCCTGAAGCTAACTGTGATACTGGACAGCAAATGGGGCACAAGTGGAATCAAGAAAAGATAGGTGCAATATTCTTACTGCTTGGTTTGAGAAATATGTTCCAGCCTTCTTGGGATCCAGATGCATAAAGTCAACTAGGCCTGTGAAGAATGTGAGGAAATTTAGCCTAAGGCCATGTGGAGTCACCTAGAAATAAACAGAACAAGTTATGAAAAACATTTCTTTAAAAGAACCAGGAATGAAAGAGACACTGCTCATAGTAAACACTCAGTGCTATATTATCCGTGATAACTGTGTACCTCTCCTCTCTCAGCTAACCCTTATTAATCTTTCTTCCTAAAAAACTAAGTGGCAAGATAACTCCAAGCACTGGCTGTTTCTTTATTTAGTAAGCTCACCTCCCTTTCAGACTAAGAAAGGACAGCAATCCTCCCACCCTCTGGGATTTATCAACAGAATGGAAGGAGCTTTGCACAAGTATCCTTGGGGAACTATCAGTCTGACAACATGGATAAAGAGGTGCTAACTTGGATATTTAACCTGGACTAAGAAGGTAAAACTCAAATGCTTACAAAAAGGAGATACTGATCATGAGCAAACTGATTTACCCTACAGAGCCCTCCAAAGGTAACAGACACCTCAAAAGAGAGCTGTGAGGCAGGTGACTAACATCATGGAACTAAGTCCCCTCCTGTCCCTAGAGGATCCACCCTTCTCCCACATCCAAAGAAAATAGGAAACTTATTCTCTAGGAAAATGGTACCAGAATCAAAACATAGGAAAAATATAAATCCTGAAAGTGTAGATTAAGAAAAATTCTAAATATCATACAGATAAGAGACATCCATGTTGGGCGTGGTGCTCATTCCTATAATTCTAGCTCTCTGGAAGATTGCTTGAGGTCAGGAGTTCAAGACTAGCCTGAGCAAGAGAGAGACCCCATTTCTACTAAAAATAGAAAAAAATCAGCCAGGCATGGTGGCACATGCCTGTAGTCCCAACTACTCAGGAAGCTGAGGTTGCAGTGTGCTATGATAACGCTACTGAGCTCTATCCAGGGTGACAGAGCAAGACTATTTCAGAAAAAAAAAAAAAAAAGTCAAGCCCCTTTCTCCCACCTTGTTTTCAGGCAGCCAGGCTTAAACCAGCTTAGGTGGAGATTGTTAGATTTTTTTTTCTAGAGAAATCTAACATTCCAGGGAAGACTATAACAATCACATTTAGAGGTTGCTCGAAGTAAATTTGCTAGCTCCTGTTCCTGACAGTGACGTCAACCAGTCCACAAGTCCCACCCAGGCACACAGACTTCCTAGCAGGTTTTTACTTCCTCACTCATAATATGGTAGTCTAAACAAAATTTAAGACAATTGGAAGTTAAAGTTGAGAAACTCTTCCAGAAGACAAAAATACATGCACATACCAAAATGAAGGTGAAATTGTATTTTTAAAAAATTCAAGATCTGATAAGAGGCTAACATCCAGAAAATATAAGTTCTCACAACAATAAAAAAAACAACCTATTCTTAAAATGGGCAAAGGACTTTTAAATAGACATTTCTCCAAAGAAGATATACAAAAGGCCAATAAGCACACAAAAAGAGACTCAACATTATTATCATTATAATCATCAGGAAAGGATGGGTATATACAACCAAACAAGTAATATGTGCAACGTTTGGGGGATGGACACTCTTGAAGCTCTTACTCAAGGGGGAGGGCATGGGCAATATATGTAACCTTAACACTTGTACCCCCATAATACGCTACAATAAAAAAAATACTTGTAAATTCATTTCAGCATTTTTTTTTTTTGAGACAGAGTCTCACTTTGTTGCCCAGGCTAGAGTGAGTGCTGTGGCGTCAGCCTCGCTCACAGCAACCTCGCACTCCTGGGCTCAAGCCATCCTCCTGCCTCAGCCTCCTGAGTAGCTGGGACTACAGGCATGCACCACCATGCCTGGCTAATTTTTGTATATATTTTTAGTTGGCCAATTAATTTCTTTCCATTTATAGTAGAGACGGGGTCTCACTCTTGCTCAGGCTGGTTTCGAACTCCTGACCTTGAGCAATCCGCACCTCGGCCTCCCAGAGTGCTAGGATTACAGGCCTGAGCCACCGCGCCTGGCCCATTTCAGCATTTTGAACTGCCTATATCAAGAGTCTGCAGAGAAGGCCTGTGTGCCAAATGCATCTGCTATGTGCTTTTATAAATAAAGTTTTATTGAAACACAGCAAAAAAAAAATAATAATTATAATCATTAGGGAAATGCAAATCAAAATCACAGTGAGATATCTCTTCATACTTACTTGAATGGCTACAATAAAAAGATAACAAGTAGGCCGGGCGTGGTGGCTCACGCCTGTAATCCTAGCACTTTGGGAGGCCGAGGCGGGCGGATTGCTCAAGGTCAGGAGTTCGAAACCAGCCTGAGCGAGACCCCGTCTCTACTAAAAATAGAAATAAATTAATTGACCAACTAAAAATATATATACAAAAAATTAGCCGGGCATGGTGGTGCATGCCTGTAGTCCCAGCTACTCGGGAGGCTGAGGCAGTAGGATCGCTGAGCCCCGGAGATTGAGGTTGCTGTGAGCCAGGTTGACGCCACGGCACTCACTCTAGCCTGGGCAACAAAGCGAGACTCTGTCTCAAAAAAAAAAAAAAAAAA